CCCCCGGCCTCTCCCCTCACCCCATCCTTCAGGCACAGCGTGGTCCCCGCCAAACTCAGTGGGGCAGAGCCCCTCGCTCCGCACGGCCCCCGCGCCTCGCCAGCCGTGCCGGCACCGCGCGGACCGGCGACCAAAGGCCCATCGGTACCAAAGAGCCGACACCTCACTTGGGGCCGGGAACCAAATTTTGCATGTGCGTCGGTGCAGCAGCGTTGCAAGGCTGTTAAATAACAGTGTAAGGGTGTACACGAGAGCAAAGGGGTGTGTGTGTGTGTGTGTGTGTGTGTGTGTATAAGTGTGGGCACCGCACACATGTCACTGCCCAGAGCAGCATCTCGACCATCTTCAGCAAACTCCGGGACGCAGCTTGCCGGTGCGATGCACGGATGACGGCAGCGCCGCGAACGGCAGCAGAAGGGACCTGACCACGGGCGCGGAGCAGCGCAATGCCTGCGCTGGGGACACGGGCTCTGTTCCGAAGGCTGTAGTCATTTCTCTGGCGTGGGGATCTCTCTGCCTGACCATCTCGGGTGACTTTGCTTGCAACGGAGCACCGAGCATCCGCGCTGCCTCGGACGGTGCTCAGGGTAACGCGAAACCCGCCCGGTATTTATAGACCGTATCATGTGTCGAAAGTCAACATATCGCTGATGCCTCCAGACGACATTGGCACATGACCAGCGCCTAAACGGGTGTCTCACCGTGGCCGGGGAGAAGGGTTATCGAACGCACTGCTGCCGCCAGCGGGAGAGCGTGGAGGGTCGTGCTGCCGCGGCAAAGCTCTGGCTGGAGAGAGGGGCCCTGGGTGAAAGAGGGGCTGTCCCGGGGCAGCCGGGGGGGTTCTCCTCGGCGAGGAAAGAGATCTCGCCCAGAAACTCATCTTGCCATGGCAAACCGGCACGTGCATCCCTGGCGCGTCCTTCTGTGCATCAGCCACTGGCGACAGCCGTGTCCCCGCACCGCTTCTCCCGAGCTGGTGAGAGGCACGTCCAGGGCTCGGCCACATCTGGAGCCCAGAGACAGCAGCAAGAGCAATAAACCTCACATTTCAGGACAAAAGCTGATTCCCAGCTGGGGAAGGGGAGGGGGGGGAGGTGTCATGAAAAAGAAGTCTCCGTTACGTTCCTTTCCTATTTTTAGCCCGATTTCCTAAGGAAATGAGATGTCTGCAATCAAATCCTCTGTCTTGCCTGTCCCCTTCAATGCCATTTTTGAATACATCGCTCGATTTCAGCCAAACCTGACAGCGAGGGAGAAGCCCCAGAGAAAATTCTTTTCCTGCAAGTTTTGTGGCAAAAAAAAAAAAAAAAAAAAAGTCACATTTTCATGGAAAAAAAACCAACCTCACACTTTGGAAGGCAGGAACCGGCGGCAGGTTCCCGGCTGGAGGAATCCAGCATAAGTCTTTCCCCCGCTGTGGCCGCCGGGCCGTCCCGGCGCGTACGGCTCCACCTGCCTTAACTCGGAGTGCGCTCAAAGGGCACGGATTTGCAGGGATGCAGGAAGAGGCGCGGAAGAAGGATGGACTTGAAATTGCAGCCCAGCGTCAGCGTCGCTGCGCTGCGTCACCTCGGGGAAACCACTTCACCTCCCCTGCTCTGCAAAGCCGACCCAGCGCCGCTCGCGGCCGCGCCAGGGTGGCCCGTCAGTTCCCACCCGCGCCTCCGTCGGGAGGGAGAGGGATGCACGTCCCTCGCAGTCGGCAGTTGTGTCCCGTTGCACACGTTCAGAACATCACCAAACCCCAACGCTCCCCCCCGCAGAGCCGTTCCACCGAGGGGCTCTCACCGACGGCGGAGCAAGCGATGCTGTCTCGTCTTTCTCCCCCAGTGCCGAGGATACAGACACAAGACCCAAGGAAAATCGGCATGGCCCCGCTACGATGTCTAGCAGGCGATGAGGTCCCAGGCTGGACTGTGGGACTCTCCATCGGCCTTTAGACTGGTCTTAGCGAGTGAGCGTCCTCCTTTGCCCATCCAGGTCTCCTCTTGGGGTACTTCCGATCGGCCGCGGCACAGTTCAGCATTTCAAAGAGATGACGTAGCCCAGCGAGGTTTCAGGGAAGCGGGCTGAAGGCAGGGAAGGCTCAGCCTTATTCTACACAGAAGAAACCATACAGGACACTCGTGGTAGATGCTCCCAGCATGGAGAAGGCATCTTCCAGCTCTGGGGTCACCTTATACAAAGTCCATCAAGCTCAAGAAACAGAGCCTGAAGCACCAACTGATCTTCTGCCCCTCGACCCTCACCGACCTCCTTCTCTGAGCCTCCAAAGGCTCTTGCTGGAGACCACGGCGGCGTACCTCGACACCCACCCGCGCACCCAAGGGCAGCTCTCACCAAACCAGCTCTGCGCCGTAGAGGCGTAACTGAACCGCGGAGCGCTGCTGCTGCAGCAGAGCCCACAGAGGAGGCGGGGGAGAGGGGGTCTCTCCATTGGGATGACCCCCTACGCTTCTCTAGCCTTCGGGACAGCATACAAGCATTCAGCAGAGTCCACCTAAAACTCTTTTTGGTGGCAAATGTTTAAGTCAGCCAAGCGTAGAGTGATGGTATGCTTAGCCCCCAGCAGAGCTGTGAGGGAGAAACACCTCTGGCCAGCTTGCGTCCCACTTCCTTCTCTCCCTCCAAACCCGTGTCGTTTCACTTATCTCAAAATCAGAGATAGGAGTAGACTGACCTCGGCCAGAACTTGTGTAAATGTGTTTCTTTTTCATCCTTGATTTAAGGCAACAAACTGAAGAGTGCTGCAGTCCAGTGCTGTGCTCACCTCCGGCCCGGGGAAGCGCTGCCCTCGGGGACCACCGGACAACCGGGCGCTGCTGCAGAGCCTCCTCCCGACACGAGGGGAAAGCAACGTCAGGGAGGGATCAGCTCTACACCCTTCAAAGCCATCTCCCGTGACCAGGCTGGGGCGGACCGCTGTGACCCTCCGATCCAACGCCAACTGCTTCAGAGACGGCGCAGAAAAATCCATCCTTGACTTCTTTCGGAAAAGGTTGGCTTGGCCCCCGGAGCGGTGGGTTTACATCCCTGACAGCACATCTGGGGACTACGCGGAGAGACTCCGCTCACCTCCCACACGGATGTCCTTGGCACGGCGGGGAGCCACGTGTGTCCTCCCACACGGGCATCCAGCACCGCTGCCTACGCGGTGCCGCGTTTGCTGGGGACCCTTCAGCTGGACGGCAGCGGGAACGCGGCTTTATCATCCGCCATCGCTGAATAAGCCACCGCCAGCGCCACAGCGCACCTGCGGCGGAGCCAGATGGAAGTAGGTGGAGCAGATATTGTTTTCTGTTGAAATATTTGTGGTCGGGCTATTCCGTACTTGCCGGTTTTTAGAGACGTGGAGTCTGCACTGGGGAAGGGGCCAAAGGCACCCATGAATCACGTCCCTGCAAACAAAAATCCCTCAGAAAGAAAAAGTTGTCCCAAAGCAGCCATGGAAGCAGCTCCCCTCAGGCCGTAGCCTCGGATTGCGGCAGTCCCATGCTGTGGTCCGAACCCAACCCCTGCCGGATCATCGGCTATTTTGAGAGCTCCCCAAACCACTGAACTTTGCTGCTGCTGAAAGGAAGAGAAGCGGTGTGTTTGCTTTTATTTCAAAAAGGAAGATAAACCGAAAGCTGGTCCCTTTTCTCTCCGCCGGATGATGTGACGGTGTGGGACACTAGAAGATCTATGCAGAAACCAACCCAATTTCAAGCCGACTTTGAAGCCTGCACCCCATGTTCAAAAACGACCCATGTTATTTCCAAGCTTCGGTCCCACAACGTTGAGCTCATCTCCTGAGCGTCCACCCCAAGGGCTCAAACCCCACGTTTCCAACTCACGTCTCACAGCTAATTGTCACTCATTAATGACTGCGCAAACGTTGTTCCTGTTGAGACACCGCCTCGCGTGGCAAGCTCTGCCGCTGGGACACCTCTCGAGAGTTAACATCGGCCGGGGCCGTCAGGGAACGCTCTCCAAGAATATAACTGAAGCCACGCCGCCCTGTCAATAAACATATTTTCGGTTGCTATAGCAAAGCCGGCGCGCAATTAAGAAGCACTCTCAGACTTCAGGGCCCTCTCCTTTCTCGGCGGCTTTGCAGACTCGCTCCCTTCCTACCGAAAACCCCCGACGTGCCGCCGGCCGCACCCCGGCCGCGTTCGCAGCCAGGCGGAGGGGCGGCAGAGCGGGGACGCGCGTCCCGCTCGCTTCTCCCACGTTCTATAAATAGGGAGAGAGAAAACAGCTGAAAGGCACCTTAGCCCCAGGGCTCGCTCCCGCCCCGGCTTGCCGGCCACCGGCTTCTCCGTACGGGCTTTGTGTCAGCCTGGACCCGGTGGTGAAGCGTTCCCTTTCTCCTCTTCACAAAGGGGCTATTTTTTAAGGTCTGACAGGAGACAAGAAAACCTCTAGTGCAGGAGAAACCAAACCAACGCGGTCTCCTGGTGTTCCATTCTGTCCGTTGCCGGTTTCTAACCGCCACAGCGCATTTCGACGTGCAGCCAGAACGTGTCTGGATCGTGCTGAGAAAATAAATCTGGCTCCACGTAAGAGTTCAAAGACGCCTTTGCAAAGCTGACAGAGGGAAAAAAAAACCCCAACATACAAAAGGGGCACATTAACAGCATTTCCCTTCCACCCCGGAGGCCCAAACAACACATCCTAAGAACTTTTCAAGCTTTTCACCGCTTCAACAGGATAAACGCCTGCGGCTCGTGCCGCAGCACAGCATGGGAACGTTACGCACGTCCAAATATCATCACCAAGTTGGTACATCCCTTTGCCGGCCCGCGGCTCCCAAGGAGAGTTGTGTGCCCTTTCGGCTTGCCGCAGAAGGCGGCGGTGGGGCAGAGAGGGCGCCGGCGCTCAGCGCGGCCGTCACGCTTCAGCGGGCTGGGCAAATAACGGATCCTCACCACGGGACGCCCTCACGCCGCGAGAAGCGGCTTCGCTCGAGAAGCTTATTTTAGAACGCAGAACAAGTCGCCGAGGGAAAGAAGAGGAACCCCATCACGTCGGTAATTTAAAACTCGTCCAGCCGGAGCTCTGGAGGTGCGCCGGGGAGAGCTGTCCCGGCGGGTGAGCAGCACGCGCCGTTCCCCCTTCCGCCCTGACGCTGAGGCTCC